ATGTAAGAAAAACAATAGATGATTTAAAAAAAGTGATAAAAAATTTTGAATCCAGAGTTGAATTCACAGAAGATTTGCAGAAAATGAGTGATGTGAGTATTCGTCTTCTGGTTCTTTTAGAACAGTTTTTATGTTGAAAGAAATCTTGTAGCCAAGGAACAAATTACTTGAAGTCTCAAATGCTTTCAGACATTTTTCTAGATTGTATGATTGTACTTACAATAATTTTAACATTGAAGATTCAAATTATTAATGTGCTTTGTTTTGTTTAAAAAATTAGGCTGCAGGTGATATTGTTGATATAAGAGAAGAAATTAAAAGTGACTTTGAATTTAAAGGTAAGCAGTAAGATTGTTTTATGTTTAGTTATTTAAATATTTGCCATATGTATGGATATTCAAGGAGTCTTTTGTGAGATATTAGGATTATATGATACTTTTAAATTCCTGAGATAAAGAACATTTGTTTCATTTATTCATTAATTTTTATAGTTTTTATAACTTTGATATAAAATAGTTATATATTTAATATACTTTAAAATATAAACATTAGTAGATAAATACCTCAGTGAAAAATTTGATTCCTGACCGATTTACTTACGTAGTGAGATGACAGGCTTTCTTCAAAGTTCTTAATGATCCATATGTCTACAATTCAGAAGACGTGTATTCTGTACATGGATCTGCCTCAAATTTGATCATTGACCTTGGTGGAGTCATAATGTATCTTTTGCTAGTTTTTCTTCTTTTAAAACTGTAGCTTCAGATGTTGTTTTTGGGAGAAAGACTGAATATAATCTAAGTGTATTTCAGCCATTCGTTTTATGTCGTCTGCAGTGGCATCCCGTACTCGGGTTGTCCCAGGCTCACCTCATAGCTTTCTCTTGCCGGGGATGGGTTACATGTTTGGTTTTTCCTTCTGGAAAGGCAGTGGTTCCCCTGTCAGTTGTAAAGTGTTACAGCAGTGAAAATTTTAAAAGTATTACAGAAATGGTTTATAATTTGCTACTGTAGAAAACCATTACTTTTAACAGTTATTTTGATTTTTTAAAGTTCATATTTTAGTCATTAACTCTGAAGATAACTTGTTGGTTGAAATAGAGACAATTTTGGGAGCCATATTCTAGCCATACTATCTCTACTAATATGGCATTAAAATTAATAGCAAGTGGCTTCAGAAGGTGAAATAAAGGAGACATACATTACAGTTAACGAACAGAAAGACAAGTTATAATTTTTGTTTGTGGTGACCAATGAAAGATTTTTGTATTTTACATGTCTGAAATATGAACGTTGTTAATGCTGTTTTATCAATAATAGTTATGGACAATAATAGGCTATGAAACATAATTATGATATTTTTAGATTTAGGAAGCAGTGTTGTACATTTGAATGTATGATGGAGGTCATCGTTAACCATATCTCATAACAGCATTTTAGACTTCTTCCCATTGCCTTCTTCAAAGCTATAATTTGCTTTATAAAAAAGTCTATTTTTTTCAGATGAAAAGCAAATGGATTTGAGTTCAGATTTTCTTTATCTCCTGCCCTCACATGAGGATTACAAATAACATAAAGTAATTTAAAAAGGAGAAATGTTCATATACAAAATTATAGTCCAACTTTCCAGGGATTAGCTTCCATAGATTCCTCCTAGGGTATTTATGCCTGGCTGTGCCTAGAGTTGAAAGTATCCTGTGACAAGGCTTTGATGTGTTACTTTAGTAACTGAATTCTCTTGAGTAAGGATGGAAGATGTGTATTATTTGTGTTGAATTTTGTGTTATAACTAGGGTACATTGTGACCATTTTTGCTAATGCATTTTTGAAGCTTTCAGGCACTTCTTCACAGTCTTTAATGTGCATATGAATCCTCTTGGGCTCTTGTTAAAACACAGATTGTGATTTAGCAGATCTGGGGTAGCCCTGAGAGTATATACTTCTGAAATGTTCTGCAGGAATATCAGTGTTGCTGGTCCTTGGACCACACTTTGAGTAGCAAGATTATGAGAGAAATGGATCCTTGGAGTTGTCTTGCTTGCTTAAAAACCATGCATTCCCCCCCCCCCCCCCGATGCCCCTCCCCCCCATCTCCATATCCCCTCTTCTCAGAAGAAAGTCTCACTAAGTCTAGGTTTGTGCTTTTTTAAAGGCGGCTATTAACAGCCATGTCTTTCCTTTTTTTAAAAAAAAAAAATAGCAAAACACCGAATTGCCCATAAACCTCACTCCAAACCAAAAACTTCAGATATTTTTGAAGCAGATTTTGCAAATGATGTCAAATCCAAGGATTTGCTTGCTGATAAGGAACTGTGGGCTCGACTTGAAGAACTAGAGAGACAAGAAGAATTGCTGGGTGAACTTGATAGGTACCGAATGACAAATTATCTTTCCAAGAGATTTTGTTTCTAAACACATTTCCTTGTTAGTCTTTTTCCTCATTAATAAAACAATACATGCTCATTGAAGAAAATACATAAAAGTATAATATATTAAAATATCAATAATCCTCCCACTCGAAAATATGTATTAATTTTCTAGAATATTTTCTGTTAGGACTTGTGTATTCATGCACATGCCCATGCATATGTGTGTGGGTACAGAAATACTTAAAATCCATATTCCTATGTTTTTAATAACAAGATTCAGCTATGTTTTGTATAATGAAGTACTAAGGTATATCATATAGTCGACATAATAATTATGGGTGTTTTACATATTTACAATTTAAATGAACTATTTTTATACTGTAGCCAGGATAATGCTGTATATCTAAATGACTTGTTAAAAAGAAAAATTGTCTGTGGATTTGTTTGTTACTGTAAAATGTTTATCCTTGCTTTCCTTTACAAACTTTTCTGTTTATTGAGCAGGCAGTTTGTAATTTGGTCAGGTAGTTATACATATGAACAACTTTTCCAAACTGCTGTTTGAAATATACATTAGCACTCACTTGAAATTGTCAAAATACTCAACGAAATCTATTACTACAGAAGTACCTATATTATTTTGCTTAAATGATGCACTGTATGCAGTAATTAGTTTCTGTGAAAAATAGGACCTGAAGCACGGAGGATATATGTATATTTTTTTACATTTTACCTACAAATTCTTAGGTCTTTTTGATTAACTGATAATATTCCATTTTTTAAGATCCATCTTGAATCTTGTGATTTTCTTGGGCATGATTTTCTGTTTTTGCATGACGTTATTTCAGTTCTATTGCATTTTTGATTTTGTTATTTTTGTAAGGTCTTCAAATCCTTTGTAGAAATGAAGCATGAAAAATGTACATGTGTGTGTATAAATATAATTATATTCATGTGCATACATATAAATCCTTCAATATAAAAAGTTAAAATAATACATGCTTTAAAGTATTCCAAATATAGAAGTAGAAAATAATAATAAATAGCCCCAGTGTTAATAAACAGAAAATAAATTAGCCCCAGTGGTAATGTTCTGGGGCTATAATTTATGGTCTTTAAATACATATCTCTGAATTTCTTGCAAATTTCTTGATTGTATTATTTATATCATATTTATGTTGTGTGTGGCCAGTGTCCTCTTGCAAAGGTAAAAAAATCATCTATATTCTACTTATGTTTGAGTAACTACAACATACAGAATTAGCATAGAGTTTTTTGTTGTTGTTGTTATTTCAAAGCGTTCTTATCAGCTAGAATTCTAGTTAAAAATATCTTATTCAAAATCTTAATTTTTGCCCATTGAAATGAACTGAAAATTAGAATATGTAGTATTTTGATGTGTATGTTTGATCTTAGTTTTCTCTCTTTCTTATTAGTAAGCCTGATACTATGATTGCAAATGGAGAAGATACATCTTCTGAAGAAGAAAAGGAAGATCAGAACATAAATGTGCATGTGATGCACCAAGTAACAGACTCTGTTCATTCCAGCAGTTGTTATAAGGATGTTACACATTCAGAACTGTTCAATGGCCAAGTGAATAGTCAGTTGAACTGTTCAATGATTGGTTCAAATTCTTATCACAGTAATGAAGATGAAGAAGAAGAAGAAGATGATGATGATGATGATGGTGATAATGAAAATGATGTTTTAGGGGTTGGAGATCATTCTGTACCAACAATATATTTTTCTCACACTGTCGAACCTAAGAGGGTTTGTATGCTTTTTGTGTATAATTTAAATATTAACATAATTTAATATAAATATATTCTATAATATTCTTTAAAAGAACAGTGTTAGAGTAATTAATATTGTTGATAGTGCCAAATAATAAAATCATCTTTTGCCTCTTGTTCTGACCAGTTTATCTAAAAAAAACGGGGAGAAAAAGTCAATGTCTAGATAGTTCCCATTGGTCCTTTGTTCTTTGAAGACACAGTGGAATTTGAATTGTTTGGGGTCTGGAAAGGAATCAGATTTGAGTAGCAACTACTGTAGCTCCACCTGTCCTTCATTCAGAGAGTTTTCTGAGAATTCTAGAGTTAATTATATTGTGGGTGTTTTGGTGTATTTAGGATGTTGAAAGTGACTATATTAGCTACATTTTTAATTATGCCAGGTTGTTACTTTTCTGTGTGGGCATGACATGAATAGGAGCATCATGAGCAAAGTGGAAAAGTTCAGGAGGAAGTAAAAAGTAGCTTCTTTTCAGATAAAGTAAATCTAAACATCTGTGGGTAATCGTGACTCTAGAATTTTGGCATTTAAGAACTGGGGGTTATTGTGAGATCTTTTTTTTTTTAAAGTAGTGTTTATTTTTGAGAGAGAGAGCACAGAAGCAGGGGAGGGACAGAGAGAGGGAGACACAGAGTCTGAAGCAGGTTCCAGGCTCTGGGCTATCAGCACAGAGCCCAACGTGAGGCTTGAACCCATGAACTGTGAGATCATGACCTGAGCCAAAGTTGGATGCTTAACCGACTGGGCCACCCAGGCGCCCCTGTAGAGACCTTCTAATACAGGGTTTTTAAGCTTTTCTTTAGTATCAAAAGACTTTTTGTTCCCCTTGTACTTACTGTAGAATCCCAGTATTTAAAATTGATCAAAACAGTTAGTTCTGATTGGAAGGATAGACTACCTTAAATCCATTCCCTTGCTCCCAGTGCTGCTCTGAGTAGCAACTGGGAATTCATCTTTATACTTAAGGCCTAGAAGTCCATAGACTTGGCTAGTAATACAACAGCAAGTCCTTTGTCTCAGTGCACTGGTCTTTGTACCACAAGATATCCGTGCAGGGATTGCCTGTATCACAGTTAAGGGTCTGTGGTATCAATCTTAAGTGTCTGTGATTATTATTTAATGAAACATGTTTAAAACATACCTGATATTTCTAAGGTCCCTTAAGTTATCCTGCTGTAGTATGAAGTGAAATAATTTATGGTTTTTTATATGTTAATACTTCAGACTAAAGGGAGCATCTTGTGAGTTCTTTAGAAAAAACTGACGTAATAGGCAGAAAAAGAAATTTGTTTTAGGATTCTTATTTCATGCTTTAAATTTTTGCTTATTTGCATGTTGATAAAATAGGAAGAATAAATAATATTTGCAGGAATTTTGTGAGGAAGAGCAGTCATTATTAATATGGAAAGTGCAGTGTTAGTGTTGAGTAGAAGAATGACATAATAATCCTACAGGGTTGGTTTTTATTTTTTAGTCCAATTTCTAAAAACTAGAGGTATTTAAAAAATTCCAAATAATTAAGCATTATCTAATATTGCTTTTATGACTTAAATTTTATATTTTCTTACCAAATATTTCTTTTGGTTAATTATGTTCTTTGTTTTGAAATGCATGATTTAAGCCAAAAATTTATATCAAAGTAATGGGGTGATATGAAAACTTATAATAAATCTGTCATTTAATTTAAATGTAATTTGCTTTCTATACAATAATAAAATCCCTAAAGACTAGAATTGGTCATTAAAGAAGATATAATTTAATGCTGTAGAAGTGTGTTAAGGTAAGGACTTCTTAATCCTATAATAGTGTACATCATTTCATGTCAAAAACTGTCTCTCTTCTTTAATTATAAAGTTTATTTGTTTTAGTTTTGGCTTTGATTTAATTTCTCAGAAGGCTTGTAATTTGCTGTGAAATTTTTAGGTCCGAATAAATACTGGAAAAAATACCACTTTAAAATTCAGTGAGAAGAAAGAAGAAGCCAAACGTAAACGAAAGAACAGCTCTGGCAGTGGTCATTCTGCCCAGGAACTGCCTACCATCAGGACTCCTGCTGACATTTATAGGTGAGTGGTATTCACGGGCAACAGGACAAGCTGCCGTCCCCTTACCTCTTTTTGTAACTGAACATTTACAGGAGCAGGTTGCCTGTATCAACAGAAGCCTGTCCATCACGGACAGGTGAGGGGCTCTGATCGGGTTGGCTTAGTATTTTAAAGGCTCTCCCAGGAGCTGCTGAGCCACCACAGCTGCCCAGTTCAGAACAGTTGGAACATTGCATGAGTTTCCCCTTTCCCCCCTCTTTGCCAGTGCTATTAAAACATTCTCAATCTTTCTAGTGAAAAAATCGTAGTATGTTAACTTTAGAAATGTAAGTTTGGGTTTCCAGTGGGCTGGAGCAGTGCTTTCCTGCCACAGCTATGATGATGCTTGCATGTGGTTTGCCTTTCCACGAAGTAAGTTAAGTATTGCTGTTCCAGTTTTTTGTTGTCTTGTTTGTTGAGAAAGTTATCATTTGGAAATACCTGTTTTCATGACCCATATTTGTAAAATAGTTAAAATTGCTAAATTGTTTTCTAAGTAGGTCTAGATTACATGTAGAATTTTGACAAATTAGACTGTTGTCACCCAGAACATGCTTATAAATAAAGTGCTGTATTAGGCCCCAAAAAATCATATTTTAAAGAATGTAAAATACATCATTTGAAGCTACAAAATTGTTGCTTATGAAAATTTTAGATGTAAGTTTGAAAAAAACACTCTAATTTCTAGAAAATATTTTTTAAAATCTTACAAATTCATCCTCGGTTTATGAGTTACCTAAAGTGCGTGTATATGTTTTTGGACATCATAGAGTCTTTGTTGATGTTGTGAATGGAGAATATGTTCCTCGTAAGTCCATCCTGAAGTCTCGCAGCAGAGAGAACAGTGTTTGCAGTGACACCAGTGAAAGCAGTGCTGCTGACTTTGATGACAGACGGGGAGTTCTGAGGAGTATTAGCTGCGAAGAGGCCACTTGTAGTGACACCAGTGAGAGTATTTTGGAAGAGGAACAGGAAGAAAACCATCACAAGAAACTTTTGCCTTTATCAGGAACACCTGAGGTGTGTGTGTATTGTTAACTCTTTATTTCGTATAGTATCTTTCATCACTTTTTGTGAGTTTAAAAAGGTGGTGATAGCAGGGCGCCTGGGTGGCTCAGTCAGTTAAGCGTCTGACTTCAGCTCAGGTTGTGATCTTGTGGTTTGTGAGTTCAAGCCACGCATCGGGCTTGCTGCTGTCAGCGCAGAGCCCGCTTTGGATCATCTGTCCCAGCACTTCCCCCTACCCCCAGCTCTCTGTCTTTCAAAAATAAACATTAAAAAAAAAAAAGTGGTGTTAGCTCCATTTCAGAAGGGCATATCATTCATTTTCCTGATTTCACAGTTCACTTTTGGAGTCGAAAAGTTATTTCTTTAAAAGAGGCTCTCCTCTCCTTTTTAAAAAATTGCAGCTGCTATATCTCCCTGGTATGGTCTATAAATCTTTAATCTTACAATCTTTAAATTATTATTTTTTTTGTGTAGTTATTTATTGAAGTTAATCAGCTGAGTAATGACATTGTTTATCTTATAGCTTCTTTAGCTGATACATATATTTAATCTCAAAAGTCATGGACCCTAATTAATTCTAGGCTTATTCTTTTTTGATAATTAATAATTTATAAAAAATTAATAGCCACTAGCAAACACACAAGTGCAGATATTATAATCTTAGTTCAAGAAAAATTTTTTGGGGGAAAAGTATTACTAGTCTTAAAGTTCTATTTTTGTGAAATAAGAATTTTAAAGTATCTTCGTTTGCATATACGTTACCTTTTTGACAAGAAGATCATTTAGCAGCTTATTTTAAACGAATTACTACTAGACCAAACTATAGTCATTTTATAATAGTTTATAGGTAGCAGATTATACTTTTCTCTTTTATGTGCTTTAGTTAAAGAAAAAAACTGTATGGCAGGTAATTATCTGAAGTCCTGTGTTTTGGCTTGTGCCAGTGACATATTTATTTTTGGGGGTTATGGAGCCATTTTACAATTTAAAGAAAGTTGTAGATCTTCTCCTCAGAAAAAGTCAGTGCACACATAATACATTCTTATCCACCACATTGCACACACTTGTGTGTGGGGGGAATGGTACTGAGGGATCCCAAAACAAAAATTCCTATCTATGAAATAGTCATATGTTAGGGTTTCCATTATTCCCAGGGATGATTTCTTCAATTTTTTTTGTTCTGGGTGTATCTCAAATTTTCAATTTATAAAGTATTTAGAAAAACTGGGGAACTCATACCTGTATCAAACTGATATACCCATTTGTGCATACATTCAATACATATAAAATATATATGTTTATATATAAATAAGCATATGTAAAACTTCTATTGCTTATACTGAATGGTAACTTAATGGTAATAATAGTACTCAACTGTCACTGGGGATGGAGATCATTAGCATTTAGGGACAGCATGTATGATTAGAATTAGAATGTTCTCCTCCCCATTATATCACCTGATATAATCATCTCAGTTGACGTAGAAAGTATCTCATTTAACAGTCTTCCATACTGTTAGAAAAACAGGTAATGGATGTAGACCTTTGCTACTTTTTATTTATTTAAGTTTACTTATTATGAGAGAAGGAGAGAGAGTGCTCCCGAGCAGGGGAGGGGCAGAGAGAGAGAGAGAGAGGGAGACAGAGAATCCCAAGGGTGCTCCATACTCAGCACAGAGCCCTGTGCAGGCTCCATCTCAGCACCATGAGGTCATGACCTGAGCTGAAATCAAGAGTCAGACACTCAACTGACCGAGCCACCCAGGTGCCCAACTTTTACTTTATAAGGACTTAGTGTATCATGGTATAGCTAGACCTCAAGTCTGGGACTTAGTTTTATTTCACTCTAACTAGCTTTGTACTTCATATTGAACAGTTTTTGTTAGCATTCTAGATGCTATAAATTTTTTTTAACCTGAAAACAAATAGTTCATGCATATGACAAGTACTTTAAAAGTTTTGCTTTTCAGTATCTTTAAACGCCGAGTGTCTCTTTTTTCAAAAGCATTTTTTTTTTTTTT